TCTCTCTCTCTCTTCTCTCTCTCTCTCTCTCTCTCTCTCTCTCTCTCTCTCTCTCTCTCTCTCTCTCTCTCTCTCTCTCTCTTTCGTGTTAACTTGAGTTAGCCTAGATATGCTAAAATGCCCTCAAGTAACCCATCTGCAGGTGTCATGCATCTCAAGGTATAAAGCTTTCACGCGCATAACTGTCCACGACCAACAATGTAGTTCGGTGACCTAGCTATACCTCGTGTAACTAGGACAAATAGCGTTAATACACAGCTAGAACCTGCGCGACATTCGCATGAAGGACCGTCATAGGACAGACACGTAAGTATTGCACTGCTCGGCCTTCAGCTCATATAAGGTGGTTACGTTTGTTAGCGAGGCAATACAGGTAGTATTGACGATCTATCTATGTGCAACATGCACGGCCTTGCAGATTAGCTAAACAGGTAGTGAACTAGATATAGTTTTTGAATCATAGATATAGAATAGAAGATCGATATTCTATATATATGATTGAATGGGCGCGCGACTTCATTTGCTGCAAATACAGACAATTCAATACGTTAAGAAACCAAAAACGAAACATTAGCGTGCCAATTTCTATTCATGTTTAGTATAGTATAAGGCGTGCATAAATACAAAAAAAACTCTCTTTTTCTCACTTCTGATAGTATGTTGTGGTGCGGTTCGGTTCAGTACACTGAGGTGCAGTACTTATTATCAAGAGTAGATAATATAACATCTAAAAAGTTATATTATCTACTCTTGTTATTATGATGTATTTATGCAGGGATGACCGGTTAGAAAGCGTGACGTTCTGACAATTATTTTTGACTCTTAAAAATTTGGCCTCACTGATCTGGGGCGTAAATCCGTATCGAGGAGTGAGTGAGATGATCGACGATAGCCGGGGGCGAAATTAACCTTGGCTGCCGCAGGCAGGCCCGCGTGCCGTAGGCATGCCAGTGCTAGGGGGGTCTGGGGGCATGCCCCCCTCAAAAAAAAATTTGGAAATACTTTTTCCATTTTCCTGCAATCTGAGGCATACTGTGGGCCATATTCTCATGTCTGATGACACTATCTCAACCCTAGACTCAACCCTACAAGTTAGGATTAAAAACACTTTTCATGACTTTTCAGAGAGCGTACACAGTTAGGTTACTATACTAATAATACATGTATTAAAACACAGGTAAGAATTGCAATTTCTCACAATTTCACGTGTTTTTGTATGTTTGCAACCATACCTTTTTGGCTATTCTTTTTTTTCTCTTTTTTTTGAATCTCAGGGGGGATATTTGTACAGGCCATCCCCCCTCCTTCAAGAGCGGGGGGGTGCATCCCCCCATCCCCCCGGGATTTACTCCCCTGTCACTGATGGTACCTGATGGTCACCTGATGGTACCTGATGGTCACTGATGGTACCGCGTTATGAACATGGCACCGTTATATATTAAAATGACCCGTTTAAAGTACAAAACAACGTTTAGATGGCCTCAAAATCATAACGCAACCGTAGAAATGAAACTGTGAATCAACAGCTAGCTCTCATCATGAGCAGACATGTCGTAGGTCTACAGTAATAGGGGAAATAATGACGGATCGACCTACATGTGCTAGAATTTATTAAAATAAAGAACTTGGGTGTGACTACAATTTCAGATAAAACCATGCCGATAGACGTATATATAGTATATCAAGAGCATATAAAGAATGTACCTTCTTAATGCTCTTGATAGTATTCTACACGTCCATGGGGACATACTGTAATACACAATATATCGTGTGCTACCGCCTAGAAAAACTCATACGAAGTAAACACTTCCATGCAACCAATTAACCTTTGACAAAAGTTGTGTTATGGGCAGGGAAACACCATTGTCACGTCACGTGGTATATAGCAGCTACGTGGAATAAGCGTATCTTCTCAATCTTACACGTTACACATCGGGAGCTCCGCTTTTAGGTAGTGCCTAAATCTGAATATTATAAAAACGTTAAATGGCGATCATTTAGGTGTAACACCATCACTTGCCCACATCTCAGACTTTCACATCTCAAACATTCAATTTGATCTCTCACATAAAAAATTACACATATAATTATCAAGAGTATATAATGGGAGTTCTCCCATATATACTCTTCGTTTCTATGATGTACGTCGATGCAGGGAAAAAAATACAATTTATTTTTGGGGGGGCTACTTTTCAAGCTCGCGTGCATGAAAATAGCACTCTAAAATTTGGTTTGCTTTGAACTCTATGCAAATTTACGGGGGCTCTTTTTGGCATTTCGGGGGCTAAATCGCCCCGAACCCCCGTGTATTTTTTTCACTGCGTCGATGGTTGCTCAATTAAAACTGACTTCTTCTCACTCACTCATTTGTGTCCTTTTTTATGGTGAGCTACAGTGTCATTGACACTTTCTTTTACCTATCTTCCTGAGCTAGTATATATCTATGTTTTCGTTGAAACCAAGATGGCGTCAACCAAGAACCAAGAACACCAAGAACCTGTTCTCTCTCTCACTGATATTTCAAATTCACGAGTACGAAAGTACGAAAATTTGATGCCCATACAGTTTCTTTGGGCCCTAGATATAAGCGCAGTTCTAGCTCATGACTTCTCAGAGTATGCACGCGTCGGGGGCAGTTATTGTGCCAGTTATGTTGCAGGAATTCTTTGTTAAGTCCTTGGCTGGTACTGTTATATAATCTGTTGTAGTGTCTGTAACGTAATGGCGTTGTGCCAGGTGGATTGGTTGGCATCACCTCCAACCTCCATCTTGGAGGACCCTTGTTAGACCTTAATAAAAACACAAAAAGCAGACATTTTTGTTCTTGACATTGTTGAACTGATGATCCGTACAATTCGGACACTCCCCCTAAAGCATCCTATAAATAAATAAATAAATAAATGCTGGCTGTGATTAAATAATAACGTTATTTGCGTTGTTAAGTTGAAAGTTGTGGTTATAAGGAAGATGCAAGGGGTGTATTATAATTTGTGGTTTATATAGTGTGCTTGAAGATTTGGGGGAAATGTTGATGAGGTAAAAAGTCACGGTTTTCACCCCCATGTTTGTACATGATGGTGCCCGCTACAACATTGCTACAACATTTCTATTTCTGCGAATCGGGAAGCATTTCAGACAATGACTGCATTTCCCTAATCTTACTGCATGTTATTCTGTCACTCTCTTTCAGCCTAATCAGGTCAAGATTTTAGGGAATGACTCAGACGACTTCTTGTGTATTATAAGTGGATTCTACCAACAGGTTTGCTTGCAGATAGCTGGAGTGTTTTGTTCAAACACATTTTTGATCATGCAGCATGTGCTTGGGTTTTACTAAATTGGAAAAGTTGAGGATAGTAGCCACCATCTTGAACTTATCCATAGTTGGCTCTTTTCCGATTGCAATCATGCCATCGCATTTGCCACCTTTACATGCACAGCGACGTGCCATTGTTTTATCCAATTCCCTTCTGTGTATACGGTGTGCACGTTTTTCTGAAGTAAGGCCGCATGTAGGAATGCCTAGATGCATCGACAAAGCACCAATGTGGAGAACTATAGAATGAAGAGTTTAAAGAGCTAGAAGTGCCAATTCTATTCTTTTTAGGTGTAAATTCTAGTGCTCTTATTCTATATTTCTCTCAAGTTACTGCACTAATCAAGACCTATGATAGTCTCACTTTGCCATCAAACTTAATCGCTCATTCATATCCTATAGCAGGGGTAGAAATTAACTTTTGAACACGAGAGTCCAACGGACTCCCTGTTCTCAAAAAGAGGGAGTCCGCAGCAAAATGAGGGAGTTCGCAGTCTGAGGTTCAAAATTAAAGATATTAACAATAACGCATGTGCTTATTTTTAAGAATCATGCGGTTGCACGCCTGCCAAAGTTTCTTTGGACATTAGCTGAAAAATATGGTAATTCCACGAGGCCGTGCTCCAGAACGAACTAGTTAGTATGGCAGAATTTTCAGGGAGTCACGGACTCTTGCATATGTCAAATCAGGGAGTCCGACAGTAAATCAGGGAGTATTTGACTCCGGACTCCCGTTAATTTCGCACCCTAGCTGCTATAGTTTTGTCTTTCTATTCCTATTTTCTTATAGTTTTTATATATTCTTGTTTTGTCAAACTAACTAAGAACATTATCTGAATCAAATGAAGGCAGTTATTGATTGCTGAAAGTGAGAGTAATTTTTTAAAAACATTTTCCTTAGTGGGGTCATGATTCATTATTTGAAATACAAAGTCCAGCAACCACTTTAATAACTTTTACATTACATTCAGAATAACATTAAACATTAAAGAGCAAGTAAAAGCTCAAGAAAACAATTCTCTGGTCGGAGTTTTGGAATAGATTGGCCTGGTTACGAGTCTTGGTGACGAATCATTTCCCAATAAAGTTACTTTTCCATAAAGGTACTTCATGGTGCGGTTGGCTCACATGAATATATTGAAGAATATGTACCCCACCATCTTTTACACAGGAACGATGCGGTGTAGTAATGACAATCCACATGACATGAGACACCTGCTAACCCTACCCTAGCTCTATGCGTTATCGGTGCCAGGAGAATAAATAAATATATCATGGGCAGGCACTATCTCAGGTCTGGTGATATGTCCACCAATATGCCCCCACCATCTTTCATACAGAAACAAGGCAGTGTCGTAATGTCATTCCATATGAGATATGAGACACCTGCTAACACCTACCCTAGCTCTATGTCTTATCGGTGAGGCATAAATAAATGGCACTCACTATCTCAGGTCTGGTGGAAAATGAACTTTTGTAACGTAGCTTCGTAGATAAGGTATGTAAGATATTTATTTTACGTGCAGCAGGCTGTCACACTCCCAGTAGCCATTTCCTAATTTCACTGTATACTGTTCACATAAATGATTTACTTGGCGAGGGAAAAAATACGTGTATGACAACATTCAAAAATCTGTCTGTTTGTATGCTTGTGTTTTATGAAATACACGTGCATAGTTCTATTATATGCAAGAAAGTAACAAAAGTTGCGTGCAAATTGAAATTATATTGAGGTGCAATATATATGAAAAACACTAACGGAAATGTATTGATTGTTGGAGACATCTTGTCAATGTGATGTATAGTTGTATAGAGCGGCCACTCATTACTCATGATCATGAGCTGCGGCCTCATAAATCATGCAACGATATCGAAGATGTCATCTATATTTTAGACGGGATTGTACGTTTGTTAATACACGCCAGCCCTGCTCGCCTTACTGACACGATTCTGTTGCATTTACATTGCTGCCTCACCTTTGGAGTTTAATATTGATTCTCAGGCCATGATAAAACATATTGCTTGTTTGTCCTCACCCGACCGATCCGCCAAAAAGGGGCCGACTCAAAAAAATTGACTGATTTTTTTTTTTTACAAATTGTATCACTGTGCATTTATATATAAATCTGTAGGCAATACATTATATGTACCAAGCAAAACAAACATTCAACATAAAAGGTATCTCCACACAAGTACACTCGAGCATGTAGACACCATGCTGTATTTGTAAAAAGACCCATTAAAAAATAGCCTACCTACCTACCCAAACTTTTCAGCCTGGGTCGGGTGAGGGCAAACAAAGATTTTTTTAATTGTGGCTTCACTGCTTGTTTCTCCCGTGCTGTTTGCGTGTGATATCATGGTAGACTGGTTATTCAGCAGCACGCAGCTAGCCAAACACTCAATGTCATGTTTCATCAATAATAATGTTCGCTAACGATTTACGTTACTCGTTCGTTAGATTGATGAAATTTTGCGTGTTGGTATATAACGTTTATGTGTGAACACATTTTAAACTAGAAGTGCATCATTACATCGAACTGAATATAATGTGATAGGTGGTAGCTGTCAAACATGTCAAATTTGAATACCGATAACAATTGTTGATATTGCTATGAACGAGTGATAGTTTAGACTTTAGAGGGTCAAGGTTGGTATAATTTTGATGCTTGGTTCAGTTACAGTTCAGTACACACTAATGGAATTTACTATTTACTATGCATTTGTAATGTATTTGCAATGCATTTTTAGGGGCATAGTCAGTTGTCTACCTTTAGGTGTGACCTGTAGTATTTTTCCATCCTCGTGTGCGATTATACAGAATGTTTGTCAATAATTTCTGTCTAATTCTGAAAATAATTGTAGTACGTGTAATGTCGAAAAATAATAGTGTGCAAAAATTGTGCAACCAGTGGTTTTACGTTTACATTTAACTCGTCTATAGGGTGTGTACAGTGGTATTGCTTTTTTTGGCTACGTCCACTACTCCAACCACCACTGTAATACCAGAGTAAACATGCACACAATAAACCTCTAATATATATCTATATTATAAGGTTTGCCTTAACAAAACGTGTATGCTAAAACTGTGTTGTATTCAACATAAAACTTATTAAACATTAAGAGTTTTTAAGATTTAAATACGCTCTGTGGTGATAAAAGCACTGATCTTTTCCTGGTAATAAATGCAATGATGCAAATATCATTGCTGATGAAAAGACTGGGTGTGGCTATATTATTGCGTATAATGTATGCACATCCAATCATGTAGTTACCTCTGTCTGTGATTCTTTTCCCCGTTTATCCAGGTGATAATTATAATGGGTTGATAGTGTATAGCAAATTGGTGTGGCATTGGCATTATGCATTGATGTCGTCATACGTTGTACAGATATTTCAGTTCTATTATACACATCAGCTTTCATAACTATAATTCAGAATTGCACTTGTCAGTAGATGATTGCTGGTTGCAATGCATGTGCCCATTCATGCCCATGCTGGAACAGTGGTTATTGGTTAGTGAATGGCTTCCATTGTATGAATAGTATTTCATCAATGTCGATATTGGACATTTCAGATAACCGAGGATGATATTGAGCCACCACCAGAGATAGAGTTCCCAGGCCATGCATACCTGGAAGGTGCAGAGCACTTTGTGCATCAGATGATAGAAGCGGTAAGCTGCCGTTTTCCTAGCGAAGACGAAGACGGTGAAACATACATGTATGCAGTCTTCGAATTTAACGGGCGTCCGACGCCCATGACGTGTAGAAATCTCGGCGGCATGTAAACATTGCAAGCTCACTTGCCCGAAGGGCTCCTGCTTTAAAAACGCATAAACTATAATGCAACTAGCCATTAACTAAAGATTTTTAATTTAAAATCACGAAATGTTAACACCGGAAGCGAGTGGCATCTAAAACTTGTCTGGTGTACACTTTACTCGGTATTCCATAAATATTCCTGCAAAATATATGGGCAACTAGAATGCCATTCAGGCACATGTACATTTGACAGAATACATGCCTGAAGGGCAAGTGGCTCGTGAAGATTGTGTATGTTATACCAGGTGCGCAACATCTGCAATTGTGTGCAAAGCCTATTGGAACCTTATGTTCGCTCAATCCTACTTTTGTACTCGTTACGTAGATCATCGTCATCATCATCGGCATCACCATCGGCATCGTTGTCAACATCATCATTACCATCATCGTCGTCACCATCGTCATCGTCATCGTCACACTGTTGCTAACCCTGACCTTAACCCCAACCCCTATTCCTTATCCCTGACCCTAAACCTAATCTAATCCTTAACTCATCACCAAAATATGAAACTCTAAAGAAGGAATGAACCCCTCGTGTTACTGGCAATTGAATTTGTCAACATTGTTCAGCACTAGCATGTATGCGACTTACGTGATTTAGCTAATTGCGTGTTCAGGGCTGGAAGCTGGTTTCACATCACGCATTACCTAAATGGCTGAAGGACAATGACTTTCTGCTGCACGGCCATCGACCCCAGCTTGACTCCTTCAAGGAGTGTTTCAAGAGCGTGTTTGCCATACACACTGAGACGGGCAATATCTGGACTCACCTTCTAGGTATGGTATTTCTGCTGTAAAATGTTTGTATTTCTGGCCAATTTTTCCGGTTGATGGTATTTTCGTTAAGGGTGATTAAAGATACCCAAAATACATAAAATATGCAATGATGAATTTAATGAGTAACTGCTATTTCATACACACTTAACCTTGTAGATAGATTTTTATTCTGACAGCCATTACACAGTTCCCCAAGGTGCGATACTGTATTTATTATACAGGGATGAGAATCTCCCGCGGATCCGCGGAAATCCGCGGATTTC